GACTTAGGTAATCCCTAGGTTGGTGTCTGCAAGTAGGCATAACTAGCACTACCAAAACCCCACTTTACTGATAGTTAACTGGAAGGCACGTGGTACCTCCTCCACGCATGTTTTCGGTCTTTCACCTTGGACACTCATGTAACTATAGCGATCCCAGTTTTGACTAGACTCTTGTGGTACTCTGGACTTAGGTTTAATGCTTTCATATTGTTGTTTACCTCCCTCTTCCCTCGTATCTCTTTGGAATTGGCTTTAGGGTTGTTGTAGTTGTGTTTGGGCAAGTTGGTCGCTTGTTTTTCAAACCTGGTGTTGCCCAGAATTTTGGCCCTCTACTCGAGCGGCACTTCCTGCGCTCAGGCAGGCTTTGCAAATACTCAGTACTTTTGCAGGTCTGCAAAATTACTGAGAATTTGTATTCTTCGGTCGAGCAAAATTCCTTAGCTCGAGCGGCCTTTCTTACGCTCGAGTGTTGGTCTATTGTCTGCAAAATACTGGATGTGTGTTTTCTATGCTCGAGCGTCACTTCTTGCGCTTGAGCGGTGAGCATCTTGTTCATTGTGTCTTGCCACTCGAGCGGTCTTTCTTGCGCTCGAGCGGAACAACTTTTTGTGTCTAACGCTCGAGCGACACTTCTTGCGCTCAAGCGGACTGTGCGTATATCAGATCACGAAAATGACTTTTTACATCACTTTTTTAGATCTTTTCTGTCTAAAACCTAAAGTTGAGACCCTCTCTCTCTAAAACACTTTCTCTCTCTACATTTTCACCTAGTTCTAGTGATTTCCTCACCTAATCCCTTTGATAACAAGGTAGACCATCTCAAGATCTCCATTTTGATCTGAATAGAGTTGGATTTGGACATCTTTGAAGTTTCACTCTTGCTTGGCTCGTTTTCTCTCTTTGAGGTAGGGATTTTCTACACTTTCATATGGTTTTTAGCTTAGTTATTTGTCATTCTGTAACAATGGTGGGATTTGGGAGTAATTTGAGCAAACCTAGGGATTGGGTGTGAAATAAATTTCTAAGTGAATGTGAAATAAATGGTTATTGGTTGAATGTGAGGTTGTATTGTAGCCAAATACTTGATTTGGGCCATTTGGGTTGATATTTGGAAAAATGGGAGCTTTACCCTAAATGGGTCAAATTATTATTTTGTATAAATAACTGAAATTGATAATGGTAATGTGAAATTGGATGATTATTGATGTAAATGGTGGAGTTGGACACGTGTTGTCTCTCACCCACGAAAATTTAAATAATATATCTGTTTAGAAATTTCTGTATTGGGTTATCGGTGGAGGATAGTTATGATTATTATAGAAATTGCATTAGGATTAAGTAAATTGAAACTAATCTATTGTTGGTTGTCATTGAATATGACTATGATTTATATACATTGTATATGTATGATTGTTTGGGAGGAAAAAAGTGATGCACTCCATTGTTTGGGAGGAGATAGGGGATGGACCCCATTGAAGTTAAGTTGGCTAGAGTGTCCAGGGTGAAAGTCCCGAAATATTGTGTATACATGGGTGCCGCTCCGGCGGACAAAATTTCTATAAAATGACAGATTTGAAGTGTTTGTGTGGTAGTGTATTGAATTGGAAAACCACTGAGTTGTAGTCTCAGTTGGGTTATTGAAAGATAATAAAATTGACTCATGAATTGAGAAGAATAAATGAGCTTGAAATGGATTGAAGGAAAATTAATTGAAATATGAACTTTGATGTTTTACAGTTATATAAAAATGTAGATATTTTGTCACCAACATTGTATAGGCACATTGTACTTATATCTTTGTCAAATCTCATATATTGTGTTAGATTGTTCCTACTAGGCTTTGGCTCACCCTATTTGGGGAAAACCATTTTTTTTCTGGTGCTAGTGATATGCCTCTGTCAGGGTTATAGCTTGGAGGGACTTTTGGGAGCAAGGGCTTCTTTATTTTGTTATATTCTTTTGTATAGCCAAGGGCTTAAATTGTATTGAGCTAGGCTCACTTTTGTGTAACCAAGCAATGACTTGGAAAGATGTAAGCCTATATGGCCTATGACTATATGTTTAATTTTAATTCTCTTAGCATTGCAACATATGTTGTAGATTCAGGATGAACATTTGTGAATGTATATTGCATGTGTTACTTTTTGTAAATGAACTCTGATGAATGAAAATATCTTATTTCTATTATTCTTTCGCTTATGAGTTGGTTTTATCATATTTTTTTGGGGGCGTAACACCAACTTAATCAATTTTCTCTACACCCCCTATCCGGACTTACCAACATATTTACCCCAAAACACTTCCATGAAATCCCATTTCACAAACGTTTCTCTTTTAAATTCACAATTTTCAATTCTCAATTCAAAGCTCGTAATAACCAAATGAATTAAAGTGCCAATGCATAGCAATATCCTTCCATTTTCAATTCTTTCATACAATTTTTCCCATTTTGGTCACCATTCCCATTTCTCTTTCTAAAGAAACTTCACAAGATTAACATATATACTCATCAATCACTATCGAGGAGCAACAACATTCCACATTTCATGCATTTTTATCAACTTTATCGTTTCACGACTATATCAACATTTAGAGAAATAAACTTCCAAACCCACTAATTCTCATGTTAACATTTGTCATAATGTTGGTCAAAAATCAATTTCATAACATCACCACATTTTCTCAAAATTTCCTAAATTTTTAGGGTTTCCATAAACTAGGTTTTCCTCCTCATTTTGAAAGAAATTATTTCAAACTAACACTTCTCTACAATAATATAACTCACAATCTCAAGGATTTTTAGAAAAACATTATGGAAATCCACCTTTAAAATCATTTACAACACATGAGCCAACATCAAAGTGTCCATACTTCCCAAAAAGTTCTAAATCAACATAATCTTGTAAAAATATATATATAACTATAAGAAAGTCCCTACCTCAAGTTTGAAGAAGAAATGAGATGAAACCCCCCTAAATCAATAGTGTTGAAACTTGATCTCCACCGCACAAAACGTAGCTCTCGAGAAGTTATCCAAATTTGATCAAGGAACTAGGGTCAAAATGTTAATGGATTTGGAGAAATCAATGATTTTGTGAGGTTTGGTGTAGAAAAGGTAGAGAGGAGGAGAAATGTGTGTTTAGAGAAAGAGAGAGATGATGGAAACGTGATATACACTCAACCCAAGAAGAAGGAAAAAACAGATTTTTCGGACTCAGCTTTATTCCGCACGTGCGGCACTCATTCTTGCCTGTGCGGCACCCTCATCTGCACGTGCGGCACTCTCTCCCGCACCTCCTTCCGCACGTGAATATAATACAACAGCCAACCTAGAATTTCCTTTCCTCACCATAAGTGCAGCCCCACTTCTCGTACGTGTGGCCCAAGCCCCCGCACATGTGGCCCTGCCTCCCAGTTAAAACTTTTACCAGCTGTACTGAAAAAAAAACTGGATCCAACCTCATGCCTCCCGAAACATGTGAAACTTGACACCGGAATAAATAAGAACAAGGATTTTGAGAAACGTTTCCAAATGCAACAAACCCAAATAGTTAACAAGACTTCAAGTTAAACCCGACACTTTAACAAGGGTAAACCCAACATAAATCAGAGAGGAACGAGGCAATTTTATGCACCCGGTCATCACATTCACTGTTCAGAGTTTGAGAGTAGGTTGTGTGACGACATCTGAGGAAGGATTGCCAGGTCTTGGCATAAAAGTTATAGTGTGCTTGTTGAAGTGGCGGCTCATGTAGAGGCATCGGTATTAGTCATGGGACAGAGTATGGAGGAGGCCATTTCGGCGACTTTTGTAACTCAGGGTGTTAGTAGACCTTTTAAGAGACAGAGGGGTTCCAACCCACAGTTTGGGTTTGGGGAAAAGTAAATAGAGGGTTTTCACTTGTTTCAAATGTGGTCAGCTGGGCCACAACTCTCCGGCTTACCCACAGAGGAAAAGGGCATGGTCAGTAGCTCAAGTAGTAGTTGCACCACCTGGATCATTTAGCCGATCGGAACGTGGAGTGCTCGAGTGCTTAATGAGGGAGCAGTCATTGGGATCCTCACCAATTCAGACTTCGAACCAGTCATGTAGTCGAGGATCACTTATCTGCTAGGTGTGTAATCAGCCGGGTCACACTAAATGTTTCTATACCCAACCGAGGACTTCTCTAGGAGTTTCGCAACCTAGTCAGGTTCAACATTATTTGTTCGGGCAGAGGCAATACCATTATGGAAACCAAGCAAGCCAGATTTTGAGGGTCTTAGATAAGCCAAATTCTTAGACCTCCTAGAAGGGAATTATGCATTTGTTCTAGGTGTGGCCAGTTAGGACACGTTAGCAGTTCTTGTCCGTGGCTTGTGAACTCTTAGGGTATCTTGGGTTTGAGAATAACCATCTTTAGCGGTCCAGTGAGGGACGGTAACGGTGGTAATACCAACGGGATGGTTTCATTTTAGCTATTCTGTTTTGTAACCGGTGGGTTATTGTTTTGAAATCATTAAGTTCTGTTGTGTAACCAATGTGTTTTAGGGATGTTGAGACATCATAACTGCTTGTTTATATATATGTACGGATGGTTGTTTATTTCCATAGATTGGGTGGATTGGAGCATGTAATGAATCTAAAGTTTTATTAATATTATAAGTGTTGTGGAATCAAAAAAATTTCGTATTGATGCATATATACACTTGTGATTTGGTTTGGGAAGGTGATGGCTAGTGAACCATGTTTTGAAATTAAAAAGAGTTTTTAGGGGATACGTGTTTTGGTCGGGGTTACAATGGGACGAGAACAGTTATACTTGCCGGGTGTGTGAAATTTCGTGAGTGTCTCTTTTTTGGTCTTATGTTCGTGGTAGACGTTTTGGTCTACTGTTGTGAGAATTCCTCGAAAGGATCTGAAGTGGGTGATTGGCACTAGGTCTTGTACATACAGTGCGTTGTTTTCAAGGGTGAATCGCGTATAGTTTCGTTGGGTACGTGTACCTTAATGGTAGGTTATGGTAGCTGATCTTCGTATAATCTGGTTGGTTGTTTCTGGTGAAGCGATGTTAGTCCCTTATCGTAGTAGTGGTTGTTGGCGTTGGTGGGTGGTGTTTTCTGAGTTGTTAGTATTATATTTCGAACAGTGGTATAGTGGGCATTTCCTAGGTTCTAGGATTCGTTTATTGTATTTGGGTGTGAGAGATGTGTATCCCAATTCTGGTTAAGTTAAGAGATGTTGTTGGAAGGATTGGTCAGGTGTATAACCCATGGTTAGTGTGTGACCTATGTGTAGGGTCACGGTGGTTTTGTGTTTATGAGGCGAGGTTTGGAATAATAGTAAGGAAGTTGAGAAATTCTTTTGTTCTTCTATAGAGTTAGGATGGTAAGACTTTGAAAGCCTTGTAGGTGTCGTGTGTATGTGCTTGGAACTTGGTTCAGGGCACTGGTTCAATAAGTATCAACAGTTGGTGGATTGACTAGGAGACTTAGTATTTTGGTTGTACTCATGTATTGAGTGACGAGTGGGATATGGATTAAAGAGTTGACCTTATTGGTTACTGAGGGATGGAGGTGTTGTGTTTACTTGTTGTTCGGTTTGGGTGATTACGTGGTAACAATGGCATTGTATCGTAGTAGGCCTTCGCAAGTTGACTTGGCTTGAGAGAATAAGTATGTGAATTTCGTTATTGTGAATTCGGTCGAGGTTGTGAGTACGTTCTCAGAATGAAGGATTCAGTGTGGAGATCACCCATTCGGGGTTAAAGGTAAGATGTCGTGCAATAAGTGAGGAGGTTTTTTTTTTCTAGTATGAGGTATGGCGGTGTATGGTTCGAATATTGGTGTTAGATGATGTGTAGAAGGGAATCGGTCACAGGACAATCCCAGGAGGGTGCCTAGGTAAGGCAATAGTGTAGTTAATGATTGGATTGAGTAGTTTAATATTCGATAGTACTGGGTCACTGTGGTATGAGTGTTTGTTGTCTAGTTTGGATAGTGGAACTCCAAGTGAATTAGTAAGATTGTGTGGAGTGAGTGGTGCGCTCTGTTAGAATTGTTTTGCTTATTCAGTCCTTGTGTGTGCCAGGTGTAAGGTACTAGTGTGTGTGTTGACTTGAAAGGGTGTATTGTGTTTGTCTTGAGAAGTGTAGTTAGGACTAAAATGTGAAGCAAGGATGTGTATGCCACTTAGGCATACGTGTGAGGAGTGAATGGAGAACCAAAGTACCGTGGGTTAACTTTGAAGAATCCAAAGTGATTTAATGGACCTGAGAGGTTGTGTATGGAACCCCATATCGGAGTTGGTAAGGTTGGGCAAAATGTGGTGTTGAGACTATATTGGGTGAAGTTAAGTGGTATGTCGGTGTTTGAAGGCTAGTATGGGTGAATAGTGTTAGATAGTTGATTGGTTAGTATTTGGGATGGTTGACATATAGTCACCTCAAGAATAGGTCGAGATTGAGGGTCGTGTAATTGAACGGTGTCTTGGTGTGAGATGTAAGTCCCGTATGGACAGTTGGAAGGTTGTTTTGAGTTATAGTAACCGGTTTGGAGCTTCGGTTGAGAACTTGGATCTTATAAGCGCTTTGCGCCACCAAGTGATTGGTGGGTGTGAAATTTCTTCCCTTGTGTTATTACGTTGCTGGCATTTCAAAAATTTGTGGGGGTTTCCATCGTGGAAATTTTGTTTTGGGTATTGTGGCACCATCGTGAGGGTGATGGGTTTTGTTGGGTGATTGTGTTGTGATTCATTGGAGAAATGTTGATGAATGATCTGGAGGAAAACGAAACTCTACTTTTTAGTATTGTGGCCTTGGGTACTTTGCATAACCTAAAACGGTTTTGGGTCGAAACATGAATTTGCAATTTTGGTTTTCGGGAAAATAGTTTGGAAATCTCTGAGTTTTGTTGTGGCCAGTTGTTAATGTATTTGAAATTGTGATGGTATAAATCTGAACACCTTTTGGGGAAAACCAAGTGTTTTGGGACAAATGGGGATAATAAGGCATTTTTTTTAACCTGAACGGACTATCTTATATCTAGTGTTGAGAGGTCGCATTTTGATCTAGCCTAAGTTGCTAGTTACATGTTGTATGTCTTTTTGGTAAGGACTTTGGATTGCCGGGCATTGATGTGCCATAACATTATTAATTAATCGCGTTTTATTTTGCGTTCTCGTTCTACGAGAGTTGACTGAAAGCCTTATGTGTGAGTGGTTTCCTTATTACCTACATTAGAGTGTTAAGCACTCAATGGTGGTTTGGGCATGGAAGGTAGTCGAGACGTGGTGGATGTCTTAGAGCGTTGTTGTTGTTGTTGAAGTTGTTGTTACTATTATTATTGTTATCGAGGGTATTTGTTCTTGTCTCATAAACCGTCACGAGTTTTGTCGGTTGGGGAGGCATCCATGTTTGTTCCTTGTTGTTGAGTCAAGTCTTGTGAAGCAAGACTTTTCTATTAGTTAAGGTGCTATGGAAACATCACGGAGTTGAGGAAACAACTTGGGAACGTGAGTTGGAAGTCCGTGAGAAATATCCAGATTTATTTGTTAATGTTTGAGCATATATTGAAATTTTGTTATGATTAATGAAATATGAAGACATTGTATATGTTGTATATGTTTTGGAAACACTAGTTTAATATAAACATTGTATATGTTTTGGAAAATATGGATTGTATTTTCAATGTTAGAACTTATGTATTAAGTTAATGAGAATGGATAACCGGAGAATGGGTCGTGGTGATGGAATTGAATGATTATCACTATTATAATTGATTTAAACATAGTTTTGAAAACTTGATTTGAAATTTTAGGGACGAAATTCCTTAAAGGAGGGAGATTATAGCGATTCCAATTTTAACCCGACCCTTTTGCATCTTGGACTCAGGCTTCGTGGTTTCATATTGTTGTTCACATTTTACTTCCTTTGTATCTCCTTAATTTTGGCTATTGAATTGTGGTGATTGCATTTGGAGCAGGTTGGTTGCTTAGTTTCCAAACTTTTATTGCCCAGGTTTTTGCTCCTCCGCTCAAGCGGCACTTCTTGCGTTCGAGCAGTATTTGCAAACTCTCAGTACTTTTGCAAGTCTGCAAAACTACTAGGAGAGTGTATTTCGTGCTCGAGCGGTTCTTTCTGCGCTCGAGCGGGCTCAGCTTGAGTGGCCTTTCTTGTGCTAGAGCGTTGGCCTATTGTCTGCAAAACTTCTGGGAGTTTCCATTCTGCGCTCGAGTGGAACAACTTATTGTGTCTAACGCTTAAGCATTACTTATTGCACTCGAACGGACTGTGCGTATATCAGTTCATGAAAGTGACCTTTTACATCACTTTTTCACTTTTATTCTCTCTCTATACTTTCTAAAACGCTTAGATCTAGAGTTTCTCTCTCTAAACTCACACTTTCTCTACATTTTCACCTCGATTCGTTGGTTTCTCTACCCTAGTGTCTTTGGGAAAAAGGTAGAGCGTCTCAAGAGCTTCACTTTGGTCCAAAACAAAGCCTGGTTTCGACGTCTTTGAAGTTTCTACCTTGCTTTGCTCATTTTCTAAACTTAAGGTAGGGATTTTCTATACTCCAATATGACTTTTAACTTAGTTATCTGTTTTGTATAAACATCTTTGTGAATTTGAGAGATTTTGAACAAACCTAAGGTTTTGGTTTAAATTCAAAAAGGGGTTTTCAAAATGGGAGCATTGAAAATGGTTATGGAAGTGGTTATGAGGTAACAAAATGGTTGATTTTGATACTTGGGTTGAATTTTGAAAATGGGAGAAGTTTGCCCTAAAATGTCTTAAAGATTTATTTTGTATAAATAAATGGAAATGGATATTGGAAATGTGGAATTAGACCGTTGATTATGTAAATGGTAGAGTTGGATATGCATTATCACTCACCCATAGAAATTTGGGTAATTCATCTGTCTTGAGATTGTATTTCTGTTTAGAAATATTTGTTTTGGGCTATTGGTGGAGGATAGCTATGATTGTTGTAGAAATTGTATGAGGATTAGGTAAATTGAAACTAATTTCTCATCCATTGTCGTTGCATATGATTTTGTCTTTAAATACATTGTATATGTATGATGTTGGGAAGAAAAAGGGGATGTTCTCCATGTTTGGGAGAAGATAGAGGATGTACTCCATTGAATTAAGTTGGCCTGTGTATCTAGGGTGAAAGTTCCAAAAACCACACGTATGTATATGTATGGGTGCCGATTCCCACAGACTAGACATCCATAAAATGGCAAATAGAAGTGATTGTATGATGGTAGTACCGGTAGAGACCTATTGATTTGTATTCTCAGTTTGATTGTCTGAATGAAACAGAACCGATGTCATGAATTGAAATAATACAGTTGGTATTGCTTGGCTTGCAAAAGAATTATGAAACGGTTTATCAATGACATTGTAATTGCATATCACCCTTATATCTTTGTTAAGTTTCATATATTGTACTGGATTATTTCTACTGGGTTTTGGTTCACCCTATATGAGAAAATCATTTTTAGGTGTTAGTGATATCCCTCCGCCATGGACTTAGCTTGGGAGGACTATAGAGCTGAAGGCTCATCTTGTTTATTTTGCCTGTATTTTGGATTTCTTATTTGTACAAGCCTAAGGCTTTATTTGTATTGAGCTTATGACTCACCTTTGTTGTACCCAAGCAGTGGCTTGGAAAGATGTAAGCCATCCAGGCATATGACTATATAACTTCCATTTTGTTATGAATGTATATTAAACTTTGATTAATACAAGTATGACGTTTCACTTATACTACCGTTTGTGATGGGTTTATCGTATTAAAACTTTTAATTCACACTTCTTTCCCAACATAATAAAAGTGGGAAAATGATTTCTTCCTGGTTTAATATAATAAAATATTAATGTATTTGTAACTTAAAAAATGAAATTGTTATTTTCGTGTATACATAAAAATGTAAATCTGGTTGTTATTGCATCATCACTGTGTCCCTGTCTAGATTTTTTGAGAATTACCATATTCAATAAAACCGTAGGAAGCCAATCACTTCTCTTTTTTCTCTTCCATTTTTATGATAATGACAAAAGCTTAAGGCATAATAAAAAAGAAAACCTAATGAACATAGGAGATTGCGGTCCATTCTAATAATCTGCGAGATATTAATGAGGGTTCTATTCTTTGCATCCAACTTGTTGCTTGTTAAATACTCTCTGGACTGGATAATTGTTTACCCTTCTCAGTTACACCGATGTAATTAATTTATTAAAGCAACTACTAATTAATTTTACGTTTGATAGAAGAAGAGGATATTGGACTTTGAGGTTGTCAATTGATTTGGAGCATCTGGGTTGTCTCAATGAGAGCCTTTCGGTTGCTGAAGATGGGTTTCTAGATCCACGGGTTCGTGCTAGTTCCAGAACAACATTGCAAAGGGTTTTACGTTTGGGAAAACCACCAAGGCGCAAGAAAACTCCTAGTTTTTCTGAGTCTGTCAAGAGGAAGATCACTGAGGTGATTGCGAATTTGATTTTTTAGGGGTTGTGTTTTTAAGCTTTCTCATGCTGATTAAACTTGAGTCATCTTATGTCTATGGGTTTTATAGGGGTGATGTGCAAACGTGAATGCTTATCTAATTGTGGCTCTAATTATTTTTCATTTGTTGATAATTTAGCTGCATGTTCAGGGGAGACCATTGAACTGTAAAACTGGGATGAAGAGCAGGTTCTATGGTGAAGATAAAGAACAATGCGGAGTTGGGCAGCTTCCAATGCAATATTATGTCGGAGCAGGAGGCGGGTGGCAGGGTGTACATACAGAGAGTGGCATTTGGTTGACTATTTTTGGGCTTCTTTTGTGGGACATTATTTTTTCCGATGTACCAGATGTCTTTCGCACTAGATTTCAAGTACTTCTTAGTAAGACAATTACCATAGCTTTTGTTGTTGCTTCGCTTTTTTGATGAAGTTGATGCTTATCGTCTTTGTGGTCAGATGTAACGCCCCCAAAATAATACATAAAACCCCACATTCTTGACATGCATTGATATAAGAGAAATAAACACTTTTCCATTCATCAGAGTAGTCCTTACAAAAGTATTACATGTTGACAACAAAAGTAAATGCCCAACGGCTTACAACTTTCCAAGCCAACACTTGGTTATACAAAAGAGAGTACTATACTCATATCATATTAAGCCCTTGGCCTGAATTTACATGTATACAACAAAAGATAACAAAACAACAAAAGGAGTCTTCAACTCTCAAAACCTTCCAAGCTATGTCCTTGGAGGTGGGATATTACCTGGACCTGAAAACGATGTCCCATATAGGGTGAGCCACAGCCCCGTAGAGATATACTAAACCAAATATAAGTAGTGACTAAAACAATAGCATTTGATAGATGGTTAACACTTATAAACCAGTTATATCACAATACAGTTCCATGACACCTGTGTCCATGTTACATTTCATTTTCCTTTACCTATCCGAATCAATTCACATACATGGCTCAAAACCTGGCCAAACAATTCAATGGGACTATAACTCATATACTAACACTTCCATATTTCACAATAGATACACATATTTGTTGTATCAATGCTTCAATTTAATACACATATTTGCTGTATTAATGGAGTCCATCCCCTATCTCCTCCCAAACAGGTTTGAGAGTCCATCCCCTATCTTCCCTCAAGCCATGGAGTGCATCCCCTATCTCCTCCCACACATTACACATATTCCAAGTATATAAACAATTATCATATACAGGGATCACTCAATACACATATTTGATGTATTATTCCAACTTTCATATTCGATGACATATTCAATGTGATTAGTTTCGGTTTTCCCTAATCAACATGCAGTGTCTACAACAATCAAGACTATCCTCCACCGATAGCCCAAAGCAGTTATTTCTAAACAGATAATAAATGCATCAACAGATATAATATCAACATTTTCATAGGTGAGTGATAAATTAATCCAACTATACCATTTAATCCCATAATTTTCCAATTTCATTATTCTCAACTCAATTTCACATTTTTCCAAATTAATTATACAAATTAATTATCCATTACAATTAGGGCATTTTCCCCATTTTCCCAATAATAGCCCTAAGGCTCATTTTTCTTCCATAATCCATAAACAACCACTATTTCAAGTCTATATCACAAATATGATTCAAACATGGAAAACCCCTCTTTTAAAAATTACAAAACAAACCCTAACTTTTCCAATAATTACCCAACAACCCCAACATATCAAAATGGCCAAAATTTATGACAAAACTCATAGGATGGAGTAGGGTATCCATACCTTGAAATGAAGAGCTCAAATGGAGATGATGACCAAAACTCGAAGTGCTCCAAATCTGAGATTTTTCAGATTAAAACGAAGCCCAAGCCACTTTCTATCTTTCTTACAAAGGACTTAGGGTAGAAACACACTAAAACTAGATGAATCCCTAGAGAGAGTGTATGTAGAGAGAGAGGGAGCTCGGATCTAGGGTTTGCAAAATAGAAGAGATGAAAAAGTGAAGTGTTTACCCGCTACTGTCTACTGATATAACACAGGCTCGCTCGAGCGAAGGATTGGTCGCTCGAGCGACCAGACACACGGAACTCTCGCTCGAGCGTAGAAAGTCTCGCTTGAGCCAAGAATGCGAAGCTTCAGGTCTGCAACCCAGAAGCACGCTCGAGCGACAGAATGCTCGCTCGAGTAACGAAACCCAAAACATACACCTCGCTCACTTGAGCGAAGGAAAGCTCGCTTAAGCCAAGAAACACAGCTCTCAAGTCCAGAATCAGACGCAGACGCAAGCTCGAGCGAAGGACTTCTCGCTCGAGCCACCAGATACAAAACTCAACTCTCGCTCGAGCGAAGGAACCCTGGCTCAAGAGAAGGATCTAAAACACAGGGTTCGCTCGACCGACAAAGTCCTCGCTCGAGCGAAGACATGAAAAATTGGGCAGCAACCATTTGCTCCCAATCACACCAAACCTGAAACAAACCTGTCCAACACATCCTATAACTCAAAAACAAGGAATCAAAGGATGATATCACGATATATACAACAACAGGCTCCACGGAACCTAAGTCCGGATACAACAACCAAATAGGGAAAGCTTATCGTCTTTGTGGTCAGATGACTCAAATGGTTCTTAGTTGTGGCATATACATTTGAAGTGGATGTATGTTACTTTTCTCTAATGCACTTCATACTATATTCATCTATCCAGTCATGGTATTCCCTTTTAGATTTGGTGATAATCTGAAGTGAAGCTATCATGCCTCATTTATTTTTTCTACATGGGTCACCTAGCTTCTTTTACTTAACAAAAATGAGTTAATTTTTTAAGTGTAAAGCACTTTAGTAGGTGTGAAGCTGATATGTTTGGTTTCTTTTTCAAGTAGGTTTCAACTCCCCAAATTTAATACATGGACTTTTTAACGTTGAGGTAGCTAATTTCTTTTACAGAAGCGAATGAAAGAAAGATCAGAGATGGTTAAAGTAAAGAGTGAGGAATTAAATATTTTATCTAAATTCTCATGTCTAATTTTATCATTGTTCTTCAGATTACAAATGTCCTTTACGCTTATTCTCATGACACTCTCCCTTAATGTTGGCGCCAGTACAGCTTATGTGCCTTATTATCCCCCTCTAAAGGTATTTTAGTGATAGATTCTATAGGAACTGGATGATCCTATTTGGTTAAATACCTGGCGACAAACTCCTACGTTTTTTTCATCAAAATTGTGTACGTAGTGTGATTTATAATTTATTACTATTCATGTACTAGATGAACTATGTGATATTACTTCTCATTTGCATTTTTCTTTTTTGTTTTTTTTTTTTTGATCGGCAAAACGAAAAACTTTATTGATAAAAACCAAACAAAGTAAGGAGGATACATCAATAAAGAGGAGCTTGGAGCTAAGCGAAGCTCCAACCTCCTAGTTGGTGAGAAACCAACAGATACAATAAAAACAAAAAATCAGATCATGCAAAACAGAACAAAAACCAGAATAACAGTGCAGTCCAAGAGAAACTCAGCAGATCAGCAACCCCAGACTGAAGGTCATAACAGACTCAATCCAAGTGTTTTGGTCATAGCAGACTGAAGGTCAGCAGCTGAGAAACTCAGCAGATCAACAAAAACCAGAAAACCAGTGCAGCTACCAGAGAAACTCATTATCAGCAGCAAAGCCCCATTAACAGTATTCCAGTGGGAAGCTCCATCAGTGTGAAAGACTCCAATCAGAGGTTAGACCCCAACATATCAAGATGCAAAAGACCACGACACCAATAATAACCCAGAAAATCAGCACAAAAGCAGTTCATAGATAATACCCCTCAGTGCATAATGCAGAATTTGACATTTTGCAGATTTAACACTAAATCATTCACGGAATAACAGAAAGAAGGGCTATACGCTCTGAACCACAATGCAATCCATGTTTTAATGAGTTCACATAGCTTTTCAAAATCCACCTGTGAGTCACCAAAAGTGATTTCATTCCTCTGCTTCCATAGAGACCAAAACACTGCCAAAGGTATTATTTTCCAGAGTACCTTCAGTCTGTTATTATATCTAAACCCAGACCACCAATGAAACAGTCCAGTCAGTGATCCCGACTGCACCCAAGATACACCCCACCAGCCAATGATATTGGACCAAACTCGTTGTAGCACGTCCGCGAGGGACCCTGCTACAGTTCGGACTCGATTTGTGTCACGGTTCTTAATCTTGAACCAAAGAGTCCAAATCAGGCAAATCGTTTTGAGAAACAGATTTTTTGAAAAAGAAGTGCCAAACATGGACTGCTTTGCCAGATACAGAGTCGCCACCTAAATATTTTAAAATGGGAGAATTTAGGAAACCCTGACTCGGTGCCGAAGGCCACATGTCTGTCATCACTGGAGTTGTCTCGGCTCGGGAGCTAGGGTACGATTGGGGAAGGTCAGCTATGAGCACCCCCTCTCGCCCGATCCGAAGATCGGCCTCTACTAACCGTGATATCTGTTTTTGAAAACATTATGTGTTCTTATTCCATTTGTTAGCCTAGAATTACTATGTTATGCGCACAGCAAATAAGTATAGACTAGATTGCCTAATTTGGAAAGAAACATTGCATATCCGCTTGTTTTGGAAAATGTTTTGGAATTTGCTACTCGCAAGTAGGCTAAAATACAGATTTCAACGAGTTTTTCCAACTCAAACAATCCAACCTTCATCCGCAGGCATTCAAACAGTTTATCATATAAGCATCTAGCCACATGGTAAGCATACTGTCATGTTGACATTCACACGCATGCGAGATGCTAAAGCATAAAATACTTACATCGTACTCCAAGCCAAAACAATAAACTGGTTAGCAAACATGCGTGATCCTAGTTTATGTTAAATTGACTAATGCAGCACATACAGGATGCAATTAGATAGACTCGGCAATCCTCTAAGCATGGCATGAAATGCTACAACTATCACGTATTCAATTTGAAATTGAAGTACAAATGCAGTTAGAATGATGTGTCGAGCCTGGTGCATGCAAGGCAAATGTATGAATGCACGCATACATTGCTTAAGCTATGCTAATTTTAAAGATGCCCTAATCTACCATCAAAAGCGAGTAAATAAAAGGGAGGAAAGACGTGGGGTTGGAAAGACATACACCCACTCACGCACACTTATTACACAATTGCCCTCACTCAGAGGTACAAATAAATATTACAGTCCGGATAAACAATACATTAATTATTACAGAATTTCTAATTAATTAATAGAAAGAATGCAAAAAACGAGAAAGGTGGCCACAGCCTCTGCCTCGGGATGCGCGAATGATGCATGCTCGAAATCTGGCTCGCCCGGAAAGCCCGTACCATACCACTGCCGCCTCTGTT